GGGGTATCCAACCTTTCACCTTCTCTGGGCCACATTAGAAGATGAAAATTTGGTTTGGGCCGCACATAAATTTGGTTTGGGCCGCATGGGGGGGCAGCCCTAGCCGTCCTCCGCAGCCCCGCTCCAAGCGTGCTTACTGACAGCTGCAATCTCAGACAGCAGAGGCTGCCAGCTTCAACTCCGGTGGCTTTATGGGGCCAGGAGGGGATCCACCTATTGACGGGGATGGCGCAATGCAGTCACGCAGACCCCCTGTCCCCTCCCCTCCCGCTCTTTCCTTCCTTCCTTCCCTCTCGCCCCCCGTCCATTGTGACGTGCCCTGGCCGCAAGCGCCGGCAGTGTAACTTGAAACTTTGGAATTTCTTTAAAAATAAAAAATTGCACTGGGCCGCATTACAAGCCGACCTGGGCCGCATGTGGCCCTCGGGCCGCAGGTTGGACAAGCCTGCTGTAGATAATCCCTGCTGAAATTAAAGGTATAGCAGCCCTGTCATCCATCTCAGTTAGCTATCCTAAAATTAAGAAATGTTGGGTTTGCTGTAATCTGGCTACCCTTATGAAACTGAAAGGGGATGTAGGGAGAGTACATGTTTCCTTAATTTAATATTAGATGTTTCTCACCTGTTTTTCTTCCGCATCCAGGGAAAAGATGTTAACCTGGCATACCACCAGCAGTGTTTTCATTATAGGTTTTAAAGTCCAGTATAACTGGATCATGGTTGCATTTTGATAACCAACTGACAGCTCATCAGGAGGTGGAAGCAGAACTGGTTTAAAGAGAGAGAGAGAGAGAGAGAGAGAAACACTTCTGAAAGAGCTTTTCAAACTTCTGGAGACAGTAGAAACAGCCAAAATAACTTTAAATTGCCTCATTATTCTTATTGCAGACCACCAGCTGATATCTCTGAAATTTATAATTACCAGCCTCACATAATAAATACTGAAGGTCTAACTACATTTAGCTGGTATTTAGAAGTAGCACTCCTTTAAGGGTGGAAAGCTGACACTTTTTCACAGAAATTGATTTTCCTCACCTATAAATCTTGCATATACAGTAGTGTTCTTTGTGATACATCACTGGAAGGTTTAAAAAAATCCTTTTTGCAAGTCTGACTGCCTGGGCTCCTGTCTCTGAGAAAACTGAATTGTGAGTGGAAAATGAGCATTTCCCTTAGTGTATAGTTTGATCATGATTTCTATCCAGTTTCTCTCTCTCTCTCTCAACCATAGAATGACTTTCATCAATGAAGTAGATACGACTATACTCCACCACCCACTATTTTCAGAATCTGTTCACTAGATCTGAAAAACTGCAAAGGGCTAGAGAAAAAAAA